ATGGATAAGAGGAAGGAAGGAAGGAGCTGTTGACGGATAAGAGGAAGGAAGGAAGGAAGGAAGGAAGGAAGGAAGGAAGGACAGACATGATGGTTGACAGCCTGATCAGTTAGAGAAGATAGATGAAGGGGAAGGATGGAGAGAAGGGGCATTTCAGTTTACCTGTTTGTTCAGGAACTGTGAATAAATTTGCATTAAATTGTGAACCAAAATTCCCCCTCATCATTCTCAGAAGCTCCACTCAAATGATTTCACAGCATTCTGCATATGCTAAAACTATTAGTGGTATAAGAAAATGCGATAACAGGATTACCTTTACAGCATATTCCATGTTGGTTACTTTATGTATACACCTCTTGCAAACAGAATAGGAGCCAACTCCTATATCTTGTCTAACTTCATATCCATCAGTAAATTGAATACTGTTCCTGTGCAACTGCTACCAAAATAATATAATCAATTAATGAATTCTTTTACCTCTTCATACTAAAGAACCAAAGATTACGAGTTAACAAATTATTTGCACAATTTTTAATACAGCGGGGTCTTGACTTAAGAACGGCTTGAGTTAAGAACATTTTGACTTAAGAACCGCTCTCATAGGAAAATATTGACTTGACTTACATACTTAGATTTGTGTTAAGAACTGAAAAAAACCACGTGGGAGGCAGGGAAAGTGCAAAATTTGAACTTTCAGTTGACTGTTGGCCAGTGAAAAGGGTGCCTGTCTGCTTCCTCACTCCTCCCAGCGTTTAGAGAGTGGATTGGGACACAGTCTTCAGACTGCCTGGTACTGGACTGCCTGGACTGTATTTTCCCTGCCTTCCCTGAACCTTTCTTGACTTAAGAAAAAAAGAAACAAAATATCCCCCTCTAGTGGTCGAAGGCGGAATAGCAGCTTCCCATTAGTTTCTATGGACGGAAAAAAGATACGGATCAAATGGTTTTCAATGCATTCCTATGGGAAATGCAGATTTGACCTGAGAACTTTTTGACTTGAGAACCGCCTTCCAATACGAGTTAAGTTCTCAAGTCAAGACCCCACTGTAGTCAGCTTTAAAAATAGACAATTTCCCAATCTTTCACCAGTTTTTCAGCCTCAAGTGTACAGAATAGTGTTGAAAGACATGCAAAGTTATTGATCAGATGTATGAAGAAAAAGTGAAAGTTAAAGTGTAAGTTTAAATCAAATTAAAATTAAAATTTGTCTAATACAAGCAACTTTAGAAGCAAGACAATCAAAATGACATAACTAAAATATATGGAGTAATAGTACAAGTTACTAATCTTTTGCTTTTTAGAAATAACTTAAAGCACCCTGATTTCAAGACATTATATGCCTTGGGCACTTGAGACACTGAGAATGTAAGCATCTTTATGGGAACTTCCTGGTATATTCAAGGAAGGTATAAGATGCACATGCTTGGAGATGAGAAAATAAGGCAGCTGGATCAGACTAAATGATAGTCCAACTTTTTCTCTGAAAAGTAGCTAATACAATCAATGTCTATGGGAGGCCCATAGCAGGACATGAGTGCAACAGCATAGCCCTACTTGTGTTCCCTGGCAACTAGAACTGAATGGCATACTGCCTCTGATACTGGAAACAACATTCATTCATCAAGTATCTGTTCATTGCTTATGTATGCAAAACTACAAGAGCAATGTTTACAGCTGTATGAATGTCAATCAATACGGTTCTTCATTAAGAACATTCACCTGAACAATTGAGTGCCCAACAGATGTCTGCATAGCTTGACTTTCATCGTCTGATGCGATAGCTACAAAACTGAAACCTCGAAAAAGTTGGTGTGCATTAGCACTAGGTGGAATACCAGGTGAATCTAAAAAGGAAGGAAGAAGTCTTTTACTAGAATATTTTGGTGTTAGAAATGTTCCATTAAAATGTGCAAGGCAGTTCAGAGAATGAATAGATTAGTCACTAGACTAGAAACAAAAGTCAGGTGAACGCCACAAGATTTAAGCTTTTCATATTAAAATTGCAACCAAATGGACAAATCAAATGTTTGACCAAAAAAACTTGGCCTCTAAAGAGACTAGCAATGAGGGAACAAGATGGGCCTCCCTAGGAACATAAGCAAGCTTGTGCTGATAAATGTTGCATAGGAAATGACCAATAAATAGCAGGTAACATATTTGTTTGCTTGTTTTATTTATAGGCTTCTCTCTCCCAATAAGGGGACTGAAGGCAGCTCACAATATTAAAATAACAGAATTAAAAGCATAATAAGTTAAACATTAAAAAACAATCAAATTATACACTAATTAAAATACAATTGAATAATTAAAAGCATGTAAGCATTCAAAACCATCTTAATTTAAAAATGGCATTCAGGGACTCAATGGAAGATCATAATTTTGGATTCAATCCTCAGCATTTCCAGGTGAAACTAGGATAGAATCTTGCCTGAAATGCTGAAAAACTGTTGTTAGAAACCACAGTACTGGGCTAGATGGACCAATTGAATGACTCAGTATAAGGCAGCCTGATTTTAACTATTGGTTTCCTGCAGTCCACATCCAACCAAATGCAAATGGAGGAACACATTGGCATAAACTCTCCAGAAGATCTTAGCCAGGAAGATGCAAATCAGAAAGACTTTTTTTTTGCATTAACTAACACAAAACCATGGCTGCAACATAAAGCCATGATTATTTGAATATTTTAAATGAACAAGATATCTGTGGCTATATAACCATCACTGAATAGTTATATCAATTAATGCAGGCTACCCAAATACCATAGGCTCCTCTTGGATGCACACCACAATGTGATGAAGGTATCTGAGTTTATCAAGCAACCTGAGAACAATATTATTAAGTGGCTAGGCTCTGTTGTGAGTCTAGACTTCTAGGAAAGTCACCCAAAGCAGGAGGGCTAAAACGAAAACAGCGGATTAAGATGCATTCATCCTCTTCAGCAATTAATGGTTGCATCAGCAGAAGAGAACTGAATGTTCCAATGGTAATGGGTCCAGAGACATTCTGGAAGGGCAGCTACTGGAGCAACAGAAGTGCAAAGTGATGCTGGCAGCAAGGTTCCCTCTAAGGTGCATGGCTGTGTGAGCGACTCCACCCCCTCTGCAAAGGGCTCCACCTCCTCCGTGCACCCACAACAATCATTTCCAGCCTCTTTGGTTCCAGTCGCAACGGAACCCTTGTGGGGGGGGGGCTGTCAGAGTTGCATGCATGAGGGGCAGAGCCATGCCCAGCAGGGATGAAAATCAGAGGGAACGTTAACTGGCAGGAAATCTTTTATAGGCAACAGCAGTGACATCCAAGATCACTCTTAGGATGGGAACCAGTATGGTGAGCCACTCTCTTAAATGTTTACATGTTTGTTCTTTCACACAGAAGGAAGCAATGGTAAATCACTTCTGAATCATTTATAACTCAAACTCCTTATAATGAGACAATCCAAAATAAACCAAAAGAATGCTGGAAGAATGCACTTGATCAACTAATGGTAAGTACAAGCAGCACTCAGAGGTAGCTCTGATAGTGAGGCATAATGTAGTAAAAGCAGTTAGAAACTAATATAAGATCTGCCCAATTAATATTAATTTCATGGAATATCTATCAACATAACCATCATACAAGTATATGCTCCAACTACCGATGCTGAAGAAGACAAAGTTTTTATTCCAAGTGTGCCCAAGGAAAATAATGTATGTTTTTAACATAAATTCTTAGTTTTGATCTAGAAACAGTTAAGATAACTTACCTTTTGGAGTTTTTGCTGTAAATTCAGGATCAAAATAAAAAGTGTCCTCAGGTCTACCAGTTGCAGGTTTAAATGGTGGACTAATTTCTCTTCTGTACAATTTCTGACAGAAACAAATATGAGACATAAGATATAAAACAAGTAACACAAGTATGTTGTAAGAGTGATGCCATTACATTGTATACTTACATTCCAGTCTATTGTAGAAAAAAATGGATGTCTCTTAATTTCCTCAACTCCATCAGGACCTGCTCCTATCGGAAGTTAATAATGAATACAACATCAAAGTAATCAGAAGATCATTTAGTCTAATGCAGAGGTCTGAGATTCATAACTTCATTAAATACTTTACCTAATCTGTTTGCGGGGTTTCTCTTGAAAAGCATACGGAGAAGACTTTGAGCTTCTGGACTTAAGAACTGGGGCATTCCAAGTTTGGCTCTATACAATAAAAACACATCAACAGCATATAGACATTTATAGTAGGAATTCATGTCTATGTGTTTTAAGATAATACAGTCTAAAATAAAATGATTAAAAATTTTACAGCACACAATCTAAAATGTTTTTTCAGAGATACACAAGATAAAGTACTCCTATTAAGGTTGTACTGTATTCAGATTTAGAAGCCAGTATATATATTTCATCTTTTATATATTTCCTATTCTTTATTTTAGCAAATGACATTCAGAATCAAAAATGCACTACAACCAGGTGAATGCAAGCCATTAGAACTGCCATTGACTGGCCCTTTTGAAACACTACAAATAGAATTCTGAATTCCTGGAAGAGCAGCTAGAGGCATCCCATCAATTTGATTATGGAAAAGATACACTGATATTTTTTCCTGTGGACTAAAATTACACAATATCCATGGAATGCAGTGATTAAATTCTTATTGCTTTAGAAAGTCTTCTTGAAAAAAAAATTGATTTATGACTGGTCTAGAGATTGCTCACATTCTGTAACTACAGGAATGAGAGCTATTTTGTTTCTGATTGGTACACACAAAAACATGCTTTGATATAGTTAAAAGACTCTATGCACAGAAAACTAGTCACTACTTCAGGGTGGCTGATTCAGATCTCCCAGTTTTTAAACTTCCCGTTATCTAATGTTAGAATAAATATAAACACAATAGAACTACAAGTAGTTTCAGAAATGAATGCAACATTTGCAGCAAATGGTCAAGAATTAACAGATATTATGAATTTGACTTTTTCATTGTAATAATTTCATTAAATATATTAAATGAAATGATGTAAGTAGTTTCAACATATATGCATCACAAGGCAGGTTTAATATAATTTTGTATTACTAAATAATAAAAATAAGAAAGAATCTGAATTAAATCCAGTTTGTATTTCAAAATACAGTAGACCCATTCAATGACTGGGACTAGTTAAACTTACACTAATGTCTGTCCAACTAATTCAGTGGCTCTATTAACAAATGGACTTTAGGATTCATAATTTAGCCCTTATAAACTTGTAATAAAGTCTGTGCATACATTTACAGAACTATTTATGTGTGTATTCCATTTACTCTTTATTGCTACTAATTCACATTTTTTCTTCAAAAATGAAGGCATTAAACCTGCAAAAGTAAAAGGAACATCGTATGGGATCAACTTCAAAATATATTCAGTCTCTTAATCAGGAAAATACAGATTGCACATACAAACTTCTACAAAGGTCAGCATAATTGTTTCAGAACAGTTGTTCACAGTCAGGTTTATCCTCCATTTTGTAGTTCCATCTTTAATGTCATTGTTTAAGACTGAGAGAAGCCAATTCACACCTATACAGTACAGTTAATCGTTAGCATTCCTCTCTCTGTAAGGTTATCTGCTGTACAGTAGTTTGTTCCACAGATCATGGTAAGAAAAGTGCTATGAAAATCCTAGACAAGATTTATAGTTTATATAAGCCGAAGCTAGACTACATTTCCTGTATCAATTGCTGAATGTTAAGTCAGTTATGTAAATCTCTGATTCAACGGGTGTACTTTTGTTGAGACTAACAAATAGATTTAGGCTCTTATTTACCCACCACTGTATGGATACGTGCAATTACTTCTGCTTTCCTTAGCTGTAGCATAGTTTGAAAAGACTGTATGCATTTTAGATTATGCATAACAGGTATAAATTGTTTTTAATACATCAAGACACTGTTTCTTGATACAATTTTTAAAAAATGAATTTCATTCGATTATTTCCCTCCTGGACACACATCATAACTACAGACAGGCAGTTCCCTTGCATTTTTTCCTTGTTTTCAAATCATTCTGCAATTTGCCATAATTTAGTTTAGATTATTTCTGTAAGCACCTCAATATTTCCTTAAAGTTTTGCATCAAGTAAGAATATTTTGTGTGACTAATAGCTAACCACTGCAAAATGGTAGAAGGAATAAAGTTAATAAACAGAACACTTTTTTGCAATCAAATAGTTTCAACACAGTTAAGGACTTCCTGGTCACCTAAGTATACATAAACATTGAACCTTACATATTAGAATAAAGTATTAAATGCCAAGCAATCTTACAAAAAAACTTTTAAGCTGTGGAGAGGTATAGAATGACAAGGTGCCAATTAATAAGGAAGGGAAATTTGAATTGTGTGGGCTGGCAAAGAGGCAATTAGCTTGCTGTAACCTCTAAAAACATGGAAGGGGTTGTAAGGATGTGTTCCATGAGATTATACAACTCCCATCCTTTGTACAATGCAACAATGCTTGAAGAGGAAGTACATGAAAAAAGGACACTTTCAGGTTGTTATGTTACGAATCATTCTTGCACTACAGAAAGCTACTTTTACAGGAACTGGCAGATCAGGCTACTTGCCATCTAGCCCATTTATAATCTATTCTGTCTGAACATCACTCTCCATTGTCTTAGGCAAACTACATTCACATCTTCTGCTTGCTTTACTGCAGAAGGGTAGGGTCTTAAGGAGTTGACAAAAGAAAAAAATTCATATATGCTACTATTATTATAGTTTTTGTTTTTCTTCTCATTATTAACTTGTAATAAGAAATAAGTACAGGGCACTGTCACTCTAACCTATTTAAACATCTGGATTTAAAACATAGAAGTTAAAGTCAAGAGACTTTCATGCAAACTAAAATATTAAACTACAGATGCAGTTAAAAAAGATACAGAGTGGCTACTAGTCTAAGAACTAAGAAATATACAATTACAAACTGTGAAAAAAAAATAAAAATAAAAGAATTTCTTGAGTGACTGATTAAAAATGTAAAGATACAAAAAGGATCACAACCTCATGAAGAACAACAGACCATTAAGCATCTTTACTGCATGTAGAAGTACCACCATTATCAAAGGAATGGCACCTAAGGTATTGTGGAAACTGAAGGTACACGTGAGTGTGTACACATAGGTAAAGGTTCCCCTTGACAATTTTTGTTCAGTCGTGTTTGACTCTAGGGGGCGGTGCTCATCCCCATTTCCAAGCCATAGAGCCAGCGTTTTGTCTGAAGACAATCTTCCGTGGTCACATGGCCAGTGCGACCTATACACGGAACGCTGTTACCTTCCCACTGAGGTGGTCTCTATTTATCTACTCGCATTTGCATGCTTTCGAACCGCTAGGTTGGCGGGAGTGTACACATAGGGAGACGCCAAAAGCCATTTGAGTTGCTACAGAAGCACAGCAAAGAAACAGCAGTAAGATACAGATCTATCAAAGAAGCAGTTCAGGTAAAATTCAATATGCCTATAAACAGCCTAGGATAAATTAAATATTCACAGTAACAAATGTTGTACTGAGATATAACAAAACACAGAGAACTAACAAATCTGGAAATATTTACCAACACAGGAGGGAAGTTTATTTTCATGCTGTAATTCAGTAACTGTTACATAAAATTTGTCTGCAAGCAGTGTCATAGGTAGGTTAGAAATAAATCAGCATGTGAGGATCAGGGGAGGTTGCAGAAACAGGAGAAGTACCAGATGGAGCTGTTGTTGGTAAGAGGTGACAAAGAGAAAAGGTGAGGAACTTCGCCAAGGCTGGATTACACTACTAATGTTTTGAAAATGGTAAAAAGAATAAAAGAAAGAGGAGAATATCTTGGCATCCATTGGGAGACAAGAGGGCTGGGAAGATGTTATTAGAAATTAAAGAAGTACTGGACTAAACGTCCTTGCAACTTTTGCTAGGAAGGATAGCAGAGTAGAAAAGGACATTAGTAACATGGATTAGGGAGTCAGGATGTATCAGTACCTTTGAAAATGAGGGAAGAGTAGAAATTAGATATTGCAGCCCGGAGGGCATCCCCAGTAGAATACCTGATGAGATATATAAATAAGAGTGTACTCACTTGAGAATCATAGTCATGGTTTCTTTTCTGTCTTTCCCTTGGAAAGGTAGAGTACCAGTGAGCATTTCAAACTGTATAGAGTAAAACTTCCATCAATTATATTAAAAGACCTGGACAAAATCTTTATCTATTCTTTGATATAACTACTTAGAATTTAAAAAACAAAAAACAAAAAACCAATTTCTACATGTCAACCAGGAATTCTGCATAGCAATTTTCTGTAGCACAACTTTAAATTCTAAATATATCTACATTTAATACAGCCATTGTATTAATTCTTTTCAAATTTAAGAGTATGTCCTTGGGGGATTATGACTTCAACTGTGAATTTCCAATTCTTCGAAAGTCTAAAAGAAAAGTTGCTTCGATTATATTTTATCCATTTTAAATATACTTGCACACAAAAATGCAGTATGTAATCTTTCTGAAATGTATCCAACTATTTAATAAAACTGTCATCTCCTGATCGTACATACATTCAGAGGCTGAATGTACACATCAGTAGGTTGCACTTACTCTTCTTTTATTCTACGTACGTACACCACTTTAGCTAAAGCTCTTATAAAGTATCTCTAGAATAGTTATTTGAACATTTAGGGATATTTTCAACTGGAGTTATATTAGACAAAGTTGCTTATTAATATTTTAAAACTAAAATTCAATATGTTGGATTTTTGAGACCCTACTCTATGAAGTAGAAGACTGCACAAGCTAATAAAGACCATTCATACCCCAAATAAAAATGCAGTTTACATCAGTGGAGAAAATGATCTTGAAAAACAACATTTATTTTGTTTCACTTCTTCCAAGAACAATTATCAAGTGTTTTTTAACCTTAAGGTGAAAGGCATGTCTCTCCCTGACAAGCTCCAGTCAATTAAGGACATGCTGGAGTGCTCTAGTAGCCAAATGAGAACCATTATTGTTCTTATAATTGTCCACATGTATGTAATTCCTCCAAATGTGGACTACATAATTAATTATTAATATAAAAGAAATAATGATTTATAAAATATTTATATACACATATTAGTGCTTTATAGAGTATACTAAAGTATGGTGAGACTGATGTTAATTTTATTTCTAAAGTACTACAGAACTGATTTAAATGCTTTACTTTAGTCATTCCTTAAATATGGAGACATTTTTCATGTTTCCTAAATGAATTACATTCTCAGAAGGATAAAGTTTTCTATCAACTGAAAAGTAAATGTACAAAAATCTGATTTTAGAACTAAGCAACATGTGGCCTGATTCCTAATATAAAATATCCCATTTTAAAAATTCCTAAAATTATCTACATTGGGAAAAAGAACTTCTGTAATTTCTTAACATAAGAAGTCAAAGTAGGGGTACATGGCATAATGGTATCAAGTCGTATCACACAAAGAAGTGGGTGAACCTAATTTAACTACTTAAACTATACTCAGAAATGTACCATACCACTTACATTAAGTTTACAGTCTTGAACATTTGGCAGAATTTTCCTTGATTTGTTTCAAACTAACATTCATTCATTCATTGATTCATATGCTGCCTTTCTCCCCAGATGCCTTCTTCCAAATGATACCTGAAGCTCGGAGGGTGGGTATGAACAGACAGGTAACTTGGAAGCAGGTTTTAAATTCTGAAACGCACACTCTAGAGAGGCTTCCCAAGATTCTAACATGCACCTTTCAGAATCAAACTGAGATTTTCTTTTATCAATTAAAACCTTTCAAGATTCAAAGTTCTGTACCTCACCATCTTCTGAGAACCCAAAATGATCTTGGAGTAAAGATTTATGGAATAATGATCTTGGGTAAAGATTTTAGTACATTTTAGCCCCTCTGCTACTGATAACGATTTTAGCTGTTATTTACTTCTATGTTTTGATTTGTATATGTGCTACAGTGGCAGTAAAGGTGTGTTTATTCTGGGTCTTAGGATTTTTAAACATATTTGTATATTTGATTTCTATTGTATTACATTTTATTTGACATTTTTACATGGTGTCTCCTAATTCCTAAGTATAAAAATTACAGGAAAATTCGAATTTTGAAAAACCCATGTGCTAAAACATTTTTTAAAAGATTTATAAATATTCTGTCATATATATGTAATAGGAAACTGAAATTTTAAAAATATATTATTTCAAAAGAAACACCTGTTCCTGATCTTTAGACTCTGCCTTTGTTTTATCTGTTTAGGGTTTATTTCCTTTTTTTTGTCTGGAATGAATCTGCCTATACCTACTGGCAGAAACATAAGACACAGAATAGTTTTTCATCTGTGCAGATCAATACAACAGCTGAAATCCTGTTTCTTTAAGTTCCATGGTATAAGTTTAATGATGTCATCAGTGAGTGCAATTTTTTTGGAAATTAGTGTATCCCTCTCCCATCCCGCACTACCCCCCTCCAGAGTTCCAGACAATGAAATGGATCATTTGGGACCCATGGAGGTTGTGGTACAGGAGAAAATGTTTACTCTCAAAAAAATTGCTCTGCCTGATAACATCAGCCCTATTCTGCAGAATTTCCATGAATCAGATTTCAGCCAATAATGCAGAATTCAGTGGTGGATTTGTAAGTCGCCAATAACTGAGACACAAGCAGCTTGCATCACTTGTTTTGCCTTTGTGTGTGTGTGTGTGTGTGTGTGTGTGTGTGTGTGTGTGTGTGTGTGTGTGTGTGTTTGTGTGTGTGTGTGTTTCCCTATATAATGTGAGAAAGCAAGGAGCTACATATTTCCTCCAAAATGAGATGCATGAAACCAGCTTAGGCCTTGAATCTGAATATGACTTCATATGATACACTGAAAATGTGAAAATTCTCTTTTCCAATGTGCTTTTATTATGCTAACAGCACTTGTTTATAGATTCCACTGAAGTCAACAGAATTTATTTCCAAGTACTGTGCTATGGATCAAAGATTTAGAAAATTTAGTACCACTTTCAATTCATTATAACCTACCATTAACACACCAAATGACCACCAGTCTGCACTCTGTGTATGCCCTCGACGATTAACTACTTCTGGGGCCATGTATTCCACTGTTCCACAGAAAGAATATGCTTTTTTCTCATGATCAATCGACTCTTTGCTTAAGCCAAAATCTAGAGAGATAAAGCATAGTAATTAAGTAAGATTTCTAATCAGCAAAAGTATTGAAAATAGACTACTGATAATTGGTATATACTCCCCCAGAAGTCTCTCTCTCAAATCCAGTTTTATTAGACAAAAAGAAAAAAACTATTATTTATTGGAAGTTTAGTTAAACATACCTGTTAATTTAATATGCCCTTCTTCATCAAGTAGAATGCTATAAATAGAAGAAATATTATTGTCTAAAACTTGCTTCTGTAAAATGACTAAATAATAACAAATATCATAGGAGATTATCGCTAAAGCTGAGACAGTTTGAAACATGTATTGTAGCTGGAAATTATGGCATTTATTCTAAAAAAGAATAATTTGCAATAATATCTACATAGAAGAGATGCTTTTTTCCATCAAGAAATGTGTTAGTTCTAAGAGGTGGTCCTACTATCAAGCAGAATAATGGCCCTAGAAAGTAATGTTTGCTCACTTTTGGCCTGCTTAGTTGCATCACCCAAATCATCACAGATAATACTAGTCTGAAAGGCCTTTAATCAAATGAACAGGCAACAAGACAGACAAGCCAGGCCATACACTTCAACAGGCACTATGCATGTGCATTCATTGTGTTGTTCATATGGTAAATGCTGGAACTGCATCCCTTTGAGTGGCCAGTGAACACCTCCAAGCAGAGTAGTGAACTAGAGACAGGGAGGTGCTAGAGGACAGAAGTGTGTATGTTACATGGCCTACACTGCACAGCCTGAGCAAGCTAGCCATCTTCAGATGCTACCAAGGTTACTGGCTCAAATATTGCTTCTTAGCATAATAAGTCAAAACTAGAAGCAATCCACTGTATCAAAAGGAACTTACAGAGGGACTAACTTTCCAAATCCCTACTAAGTCACTACTCTAGTTGTGACTTATTATGTTAACCAGGATTTTAGCCACTGCTTCATTGTCAACTAGAGATGGGCATGACTTAAGTAGTGCTGCATCATACAATTTGCACTGCTCAGTGCCACAGCTGACGTGCAATCCCTCCAACCACCCCCTGGCCTGTTTCCCCACTCACAAGCCCCTGCACACCATTTGGGACACCCTTTGTCGCTGGCTGCCCAGGCCACTCGAGAAGGCAGGCTGCCTTTCCCTGCCTCTTCCGGCAGCCGACCACTCGAGAAGGTAGGATGGGAAGTCTCCCTGCACAGCAGCTGAGTAGCCAGAAGAGGTGGGGAAGGGCAGCCTGAGCTCCTTCCCAGACTAGGCAGCCAGTGACAGAGGACAACCCAAGTGGCATGCAGAGGTTTGTGAGTGGAGCAGCCAATCAGGGGGTGGTTGGACCGAATGCACGGCAGTTCTGGTGCTGTGAGGCGTGAGTCATACAGTATACCACAACTTAATTCAGACCCATCTCTATGGCCAAGTCAAATTCCAATTTGAACCCATCTCTATTGCCAAGTCAAATTCCAATTTGAACCCATCTCTATTGCCAAGTCAAATTCCAATCCAGCCAACTTCAGTGCATGGGCAGAGCATCAACTTCACTACTACAGGAATTTGGCTAGAGGTGGCCATGTCTTCTTTATAAATTTAGGAGTCAATGTCCTCTTCTTTATCCAATATCCTAGATAAACTCTGTCATATTTTCAATTGTTGTTTTCTTTGTTTAAGGAATAAAAACCTGATTTTTAAGTATAGTTTAATGGGTAGTAGTAGTAATAGTAGTAGTAGTGATAGTGATAGTGATAGTTGTAGTAAATACTACAGTTTTTTATTTTATTTAAAGAGAGCTAACAACAGATGTACAAAGTTTAATATTGGTTCTCACTTCTCTGGTTTTAGATCTCTGTATATAATTCCAAGACTGTGCAGATGATCTAATGCAAGTGCTAATTCAGCCAAATAGAATTTGACATCTTCTTCTGTGAACATCACCTGGAAAGAAAAATAATAATAAAAGACAAACAGTACTTTCATAACTAAAAATAACAAAGATGCTTCTCTAGTTTGAAGATAATATCTACATCTCAAAAGCTACAGATAAGTTTTTATAAATGTGCCTATGAATGTGCTTATAAAAGGCACTGGTGTTATCAGTGAAGCAAAGCAAGAGACTGCTATTCAGACTAATGTATCTGCATAATCGACTACCAATTGGTATTTCTATAGCAGCACACAGCTCTGTTTTACAAACAGACAAACAAACAAAACCAGAAAAAACTATCAAGATTCTAATGGAGAAAACAGGATTGCATGGTGGAGATATAAGAGAACAAATATATATATTTGGACACATACTTTAAAATAAAGACAATGGCCATGATCATCTTGCGTAGGCATGCCAGTGGAAGAGAACTGGCATAACTTCCAGAGGCAAAGTAATGCTAATTAACAAGTCTCCACTTAGACTTTCATTGCACATCAGCCACAAAGCTTGGCATGTGACCAAGAATTCAAGCAGTTACACAGACAGTTTGTTGCTGCCCGTTATTCCACTTCCATTCTGCTGGCATAACTACACAAAAGGATTTCGGCCAATGCCTAAAAAGGACATAACAGAAAAATGGTTTACCTCTTTGGATAAGCGTGTAAACAAGTCTCCTCCCCTGAGAAAGTCTAAAATGAGATACAGCTTCCCTTCTGTTTGAAAAGCTAGTGGAGAAAAGAATCAACATATTCTGAAAACCTCAATCCACATATTTAGCCATGCATAAAATATTTCATTATAGTATGTGTGTTATATGCTGTAAAATTCCAACCAACATGTAGCAACTATAACTGGGCTTTCAAATTAGGTTTAAGGAGCACTTTTACAAGTGTCACTCCTTAGTGAGTTTCCACGGATGAGTGGACATGCGAAGCCAGGTCTTCTGAGTCCTAGTCTATCCACTACACCAGTGGTTCTTAACCTTTGTTACTCGGATGCTTTTGAACTGCAATTCCCAGAAACCCCAGTCAGGACAGCTGGTGGTGAAGGCTTCTGGGAGTTGCAGTCCAAACCTCCTGAGTAACCCAAGGTTAAGAACCAGTGCACTACACCATGCTGGATATATTGGTGTTATTATTAAGATTTGTCTTCCTTTCCTAATCATTTAAAAGTAAGAAAATATAACTGTTGTATCCTAATAATTACCTTGGCTAAAATTCTATGGTGGATGTCCACTAACAGAACAGCGGAAACAGAACGAGGCTTAATGTCTCCACATGCACCCCCAAATCAGCTCTGTAAGACTTGAAAATGCTCCAAGGCCATGGCATCAGGCAACAGAGAGAGGTCCAGGAGTGAAGGGAGGGTAAGAAGAGCTCCTCTGCACTAGTATCCAAATGCCAGCACAACATACCACACATAATGATTTTCAAGCATCTTTTAAAATTATTTGTTTGTTACATTAAATCTTCTGCTTATTCTAATAAAAAGCTAAGGTATAATTATAGAGAATCCTGGCTTGTCGTTCACATTCAGGTGTGCTGCTACATACAACCACGTAGCTCCACATCTGGCTTCTCCTCCCAGTAGAAACAGCTTCACTAACAAGGAACATTTCCTTATCCCACCAGAAAGATGTTTAGTATTAGGTCCATACTTAAATGCCTATTTTGCTGTGCATATAACATGCCAGCACCTTAAGCCATTTTTACTCACAAGAGAAGCCAAACAGAAGCATTCATGCAGAATGCACCAACACACTTCCTTGTGGCAGTAAGGATTGACTATAATTCTAACTTTTTTTTAAATTAAAGGGTACTATAACAATATGCACGGCTGTTAGATCACATCTCATATAAAAAAATCAATTTTATCACAGCAACATTATTGGGTTTCATAAATACTTTATATTATCAAAGAAAAGCATTTACAGAAGCTGTTGAAATGTTAAACACTAAAAATGTGACACCTCTTTTCAAGTATTGTAAGTAATGTTCCACGTAAGAGGTAATGAAGAAAATAGAGACTTCGCTTACATACTGCTATATAGTATGCTTTCTAGATGGGAAAGGACCATCATCAACTTGCTTCAAAGCTTATTTCTGAAGAGCATTTGCTCCTCTGTGCACTCCATCCCCATCAAGAAGTTCACACCACTCAAGCAAAGGTTTGGCAAAATTCTGATAAATGAATGTGGTACCAAAGAACATTTGTACAGAAACTCAACTTTACCTAAGACTAATTGTAATTTATATACCACTCCACTTAATGGCAACCCACTATTTTGGGCAGTGAATGGAGAAAAGGGAACAGAAAATCCCAAACTATCATTCCTATGAACAACATAAATTAATAATATAATATAAGAAACAAAAAAGAAATCATATGGTGACATCCAGATTTAGGTCCCAAAATGATTCCCTCAGTGGTAATATGTTTTTAACAGCTTCTTTGCAGAGTTCCACCCTTATATGTTTTCTAAAAATGCAGAGGGAGGAGGCCTGGTGAATCTCTAGTGGAAGAGTGTTCCACAGTGATGGGGCCACCAACAAGAACACCTGATTTCTAGTCGACACTCTTTTGAACCTCTCTCAGTGTGGCCATTCTAGGATCAAGGAAACTTCATGTCGAAGTACAGAACTGTAGGGATGAGACTGCCTTCTACACAGCTACCACTTCCACCGCTGATAGCTACACAGACTTGTATAGGACAGAGGATTGTTCCTTTTTCTTTCAACTACCCAACAACTTGTGTCTGCTAGCTTGGCTAGCTTTATTCTTGGTTGCTCCAATTAACTTGGTTGTCCCACAGCTGTCTCAATTAACCCAGCTGTATTACTTTGGTACATGTTGCTCACTAAATTCTGGTCCTGTTATAACTTATCTACTGAATTGCAATGAACAATTCCTAAAGGTTGATTTGAGACCTGTCACCTGGTGAATCTCTAGTGGAAGAGTGTTCCACAGTGATGGGGCCACCAACAAGAACACCTGATTTCTAGTCGACACTCTTTTGAACCCCTCTCAGTGTGGCCATTCTAGGATCAAGGAAACTTCATGTCGAAGTACAGAACTGTAGGGATGAGACTGCCTTCTACACAGCTACCACTTCCACCGCTGATAGCTACACAGACTTGTATAGGACAGAGGATTGTTCCTTTTTCTTTTTTTTCTTTTTATTATATTTATACAAACAATATTTACTAAATACATAAACACAAAATACAAGTGCCCCTGCCCCAGGGACCGTTATATCTTACATACTTTTATTTATAAGCATAATCTTCCTTCTCCTTTATCCAGACCCCAAATCCTTTCAAGAATACATATATTAATTGCCAAGTTTTTTTCCCTTTCTCTATACACAACATATCTTTTATAAATTCTTCCCATATTTCACTGAATCTATTAATCTTTATCTCTCCCCTTTTAAACTTAATCCCTGAAGTCAATTTATCATTAATATACAGTATTCCATTTTTCATTGTACCACTCTTGCAGCTGATAATTCCAATTATTCTTCAAATTCTTCGTTTTAAGCAATCGAGCTGCAGTTATCAGATTCATTACAATTTCTTTTTTGTATTATTCATATCACAATTTTCTATCATCAACAACAATGCTGTTTTTGGCATCATTTCAATATTGACATCCAACAATTCTTTAATCTCTTCAAATACCTTAACCCATACTTTCTGTATAACTTCACAATTCCTCTACAAATGAAACATGTACCAACTTTTTTGTTGCATTTTCAACATTTTTAGAATATTTAGAATCTATAATATTTAATTTTACTGGTGTTAATATTTTATAACCATTTGATCCTAATTGATTTATCTTTAAAAACCCTCCTATTCCAGATTTTTCCCAATATTTTTCATCTATCTTCCCTATATCCATCTCCCATACTGTTCTTAAATATTCTAACTGTTCCCCCAATCTATCAAGATTCTATAAATTACCAATTCTTCCTTTCTTTTTCCCCTCATCTATTTCTTTTTACAAATTCTTTATAATTTCTTCAAACTTAGTCAATTTTCTATGCTCTAGTTTTAATCTTTCATACTCTAGTAACCAATTCTCCAACTGCATGACATATAACCAATTTAGTTTTTCTTCAACAAAGTTGGCTCTTATTTATTCTCTAGCAAGTTTTTTTCTTTCCATTCTACTGTTTTCCTTTTAAGACACTTGTTAACTCCTCAAATCCATATGTTGGGAATCTTTCCAGTTCTGTTACTGGGATTAAGGGAGGTATTCCAGGGCTTAATATCTGTCTCCATTTATTCCACATCTCCATTACATTCTGAATCTTTTAAAATTATTTTTTAAAAAGGTTTTTTTTAAAATACAACAGAGGATTGTTTCTCAATGAAACTTGCTGCATTTTGTTTGGAGTATTGAGGAACATATTTATAAATGGCTCAGACAGCATTTTATGACCGAAAGTGCCTGAACAATACATCATGTAGTAAGTTTGGACATCCATCACACTTACCATAATGCAACTTGACGATAAAGGGATGATTAACTTCTACTAAGATATCACGTTCCATTTTTGTCCGAACACGATCACGAACTGCAGGAGACATTGACCGACATTCAGTTCAAATGTGACTAACTTAGCTATATTTTGTCTCCTCTCTTCTATCATTTATATGCATTAACAGCCTAAATGTTTTCAATATCTCCACACTATATGTAGTGAAAGCAATCATTTATGAATATTTCAGTTTTTCACTGAATTGAGTGATACATAAACTGTAATTTCTAACCAATCTGTGCACACCAACATTTAGGATATACAGTACAGACAATGACAAGCTAACTCCTGAAAACTGTAGTTTTACACAATCATTAGCCAAACACTGCTACAGAAGTAAGGTTTATCAGCCAGAGAATTCCTACCACATGAAGTGTTTTTTTCTCCTGTGTGCTAGTTTGCAAAATCATCACATGCACTGGGAGGAGAATTGCAACATCCTAAGAGCCTCTCTTAGGGATGTGGTGCTGCTGCAGGTTAAACCGCAGAAGCCTCTGTGCTGCAGGGTCAGAAGACCAGCAGTTTGTAAGATCAAATCCATGCGACGGAGTGAGCTCCCGTCGCTTGTCCCAGCTCCTGCCAACCTAGCAGTTCGAAAACATGTAAATGTGAGTAGATAAATAGGTACCACCTTGGTGGGAAGGTAATGGCGTTCCGTGTCTAGTCGCGCTGGCCACGTGACCACGGAAACTGTCTACGGACAAACGCTGGTTATATGGCTTGGAAACCGGGACGAGCACCACGCCCTAGAGTCAGACCAACTGGACTAAATGTCAAGGGCAACCTTTACCCTTACCTAAGAGCCTCCCTTAGCAGCAAAATAAATCAGTCATAAAGAAACAAAAAATAAAAATAAAAAAAGAAACTTCCAGCAAGTATTATTGCCCGTCTGGGACCGACTGTGAGATGAATGGGCCTGTTTAGGTCCAGGGAAGACCCCTAGAAGGCATAACTGGCCATTTTTTAAATATGAGCGAAATATTTGGGGGAGGACATAAAACATTCCCAAGATGAGCTGGTGTGGCCTCTGACCTCTTGAAGCTGACCACTCCATGTACACTAATAGGTCTTCATAAATACATTTTTAAAAGTATTTGCGACTTGGATTTCATGTGCCATAAATACATTAGTTGCAGTCTTGTTCAAGAGGGTTAAACATTTATGTAGACTCACACTGCAACATCAAAAGATCAAATTGCTCTGAAATCTTTGTTTCTGCAGTCTATGGATTCTCAAGTTTCAAATTCACATGCAGAAAAGGATTTTCATTATGTGCTCCCCCACTGTATGCCGAAGCACTGGAGGAACACCTCAAAGCACTGGAGGAACACCTCCAAAATTTCAACCAGGAATTCTGTGAGAACAGATTAGGAACACCTCAATGCATTGCTATCAGTGCATAATTGCCATTTTCTTTATGGATTGTTTAATTTACCTTTCAGTGTTGCTTTTTTTAGTACTTTCATTGCATACAGCTGTCTGGCGTCTGATCCTGAGATTTTTTTTACAAGGAATACCTGTATTAAGCACATATAATTGTTTTGTTACAGAAAGCTATTGAAACAGTAAATTAGAGGAAGTGGAATAAACAGGCCAAAGGAAAGGACACAGTTACATGCACATAAAACTTTATACAGTTTTAACTTCTGCATAGTGAGGGAGCAAAATTATATAACCTCAGACCTGTTATTCTAATCCCTTCATGAATGAACACCAATGTACATAAACCTCACCCATATGATCTTATCCATTTTTTTAAAGACTTGGACTCCCACTATGAAACACAGTTCAATTCAATCTTTTTAAACATGCATGTAAAACAAGGGTCCCCAACCCCTGGTCCATGGCCCGGTGCCAGTCCATGGCCTTGGCAGGACGGGTCCAGAGACAGATCTCCCGCTCCCCACACGCACACGCGGCCCACCCACCCGTAAGCGTGCCCCACTCATCCGTGCGTGCATGAGCACACCCTGCCCATCCATGAGCATGTCCCACCCCCACAAGTGGGGGTGCCCCTGCACACAGACCCCACACTCCCCAACTGGTCCGCGGTTTCGAAAAAGTTGGAGACACTGATGTAAAACATTGGTTCCCAATCTTGTGTAACCCAGATGTCCTTGGACTGCAGTTCCCAGAAGCCTTCATCACCAGCTGTGCTGGCCAAGGTTTCTGGGAGTTGCAGTCAAAGAATATCTGGGTTACCCAAGGTTGGGAACTTCTGGTGTAACATAAAGTAACTCATTCATGTAGAGTAAAAATAAATGTCATGAATAGCATGATTCCTGCTGGTTTTCCAAAAGTTTCAGCTGTTACATCTAGGTCACTAGACTTAAACATAGGTACATAACCAAGGATTTTGGCGGAACGCCTGCTTCCACCAAGGTCTACCCAGATCACCCGCGCAAGCCAGGAGGGGAGGCTGAGGAGCCTGACGCCGAGAGAGGCCCGGAAGGAGAAGACACAAAACCGGGCCTTCTCGGCGGTGGCTCCTCGCCTCTGGAACAATCTCCCTCCAGAGATTCGCACGGCCTCTACACTGGGCATCTTTAAAACCCAATTAAAAACATGGTTGTTTATCCAGGCCTTCCTTCCAGCCAATTCTTGACTTTTCCTTACTTTTTCTATTTTTATTTTATTGTAGTCGCTTTGTATTATTATGTATTTGACAGTGTTTTTACTTTCTGATTTTATATTGGAAGTCGCCTAGAGTGGACTGTTGGTCCAGATAGGTGGGATAAAAATCAAATAAATAAATAAATAAATAAATAAATAAATAAATAAATAAATGATATGCTCATTCATCATAAAATCCTATGGCACAAGTATGTGGTGATCTACTGGAATAATATATTCAAGTTATAGTGTTCAGTGCAAAATATTTGAAGATCATTATTATAGCATACTTCAAATCTAAATAGGTGAGAAGAAAATTACAATAAAAGATTCATGCGGTAGTATTACAGAACCAGAGCATCTATTTTGGGAACTCTGGTTAGTAATGCACTAGGCGAGCCCTTCTGAGCATTGAGGCAGCTTGTATAAAGCTAAAAGTCCTTTCTTACCTTTCCAAAAGACCCCTGTCCTAGTACTTTAAGAAGTTCAAATTGTGAAGGATCAGCTTTTTCATGCCCTTCTTTGACATGACATGTTATTGCAATCTCTTTAATATTGTCTTCTTCCTGTAAAATAAAAAAAATGTCAATTTAAAAGCTTGGAATTAATGTCAGGATAATCTTAAAAAAACATATATCTAACCATTCATAATCCTGGATTAAGGTAATTATAATAATAAATACTAAAATGAAAAATGTAATACATCCTGTTGTTGGGGCAATTAGGAAAAATAGGAAAGTAGACAATAGAGAAAGAGTTTGATTTTATTCTTGTGTATGGAAACCACCAAAACTGGCATGGTTCCAAAGAGATGGAAGTGCAATGCCAGAGAAAAGAACATTCAACATCATTCTGGTAGCTAACTACAAGTACAATTTTTTCCCCTCACCCGCTGGAAAAACTGCCTACAGAGAGCTTTTGCCTGACTGGAGAGGACCACCAATTTCCTAACTTTACTGAATGAAGTAGTTTCCATCAGCAAAAGTTCTGTTGTATTCTCCTAGCTGAAGAACATTTTTAAAAGAGTCCCCCCCCAAATATGGCCTGTTCCTGCCCCCCAGAAAAGACCTCTAAGAACACTGATTTTTTGTTCTTCCCCAGGGCCTATCTTGCCCCAAGACCCTCCACCCCCAAAAACAAAAGGAAAAGAACTCAAAGTACCCATTCCCATTATTATTTTATTTTTCTTCTAATAACCAGCTTAGAAATTTACTGCCTGGTTAAACCCAAAATCTGGACCATAAAGAAAGCTGTCCGCCGAAAAATTGATGCTTTCGAACTGTGGTGCTGGCGGAGGCTCTTGAGAGTCCACTGCACGGCAAGGAGGACAACCCTATCCATTTTAAAGGAAATCAACCCTGAGTGCTCACTGGAAGGACAGATCCTGAAGCTGAGGCTCTAATACTTTGGCCATCTGATGAGAAGAGAAGACTCCTTGGAAAAGACGCTGATGTTAGGAAAATGTGAAGGCAGGAGGAGAAGGGGACAACAGAGGATGAGATGGTTCAACAGTGTCATTGAAGCTACCAACATGAATTTGACCCAATTCCGGGAGGCAGTGGAAGACAGGAGGGCCTGGCGTGCTCTGGTCCATGGGGTCACAAAGAGTCGGACACGACTAAATTATAACAACAACAAAAACCCAAATGGGAGCAAGGAGCTTGAGCTTCAAGTCTTGCCCATCCACATTTTATACACTAGTGTAGAGAACAAAAACACAACTGACTTGCTCTTGGTTTCAGTGCTACATACAAAGATTGACTTGTGAATTTCACTGCAACAAATAAACACAAACTGCCCAGTATAGTGCTTGCACTAATGGGGTGGTATATAAACCAAATCAACTAAATAATAAATAAATAAAATAAAATTTCCATTATTAGCACTGACTACATACAGTAAACCAGAAGTTTGACTCTTTTTTGTTTTTGTCCTTTTCTGTGTTACACACAAACAGGATACACTTTCAGGAAATGAAGAGAAATGTATACTATAACCATGATGAATCTTCATTAAATCTGATAGTACCAGCTTTAGCATCCCAGGTACTGTTATCACTGAAAAAAAAGTTAAGTAATACAAATACACTAAGTAAGTGAAGATGCTCATATCAAATGCATTATCCATAATTTGCCCTATTTACATCTGATTCTCCAAAGAGATCAGGCAGGGCAATAAACATGGAGTAAATCTCTCATCCTCACAATCTTCTTGTGAACTAGGTCAGGCTGAGTCACTGCTACTTCTCAAGCCCATCCACGAAGCTAGCTGGAGGAGTAGGACTTGAAGCCAAATGCTTGCATCTATTCACTACAATGCCAACAATGACTATCTTACAATGGCTACACTAAGCAGCAGAAGAATTGCAGAGCTATCAATAGTTAAACATATACTGTAGTTTATGTCCTTTGCTAACCTTTCTTAATTCAAATTTAGGAATGATGGAGAATTATAAAGAAACAGCAAAGAGAAAAAACAGCAAGGGAAATTAAGTAAAGGAATATACATTAAGCGACAAAAAGAAAGCCCTGTGTTTGTGAAGAAGTGTCTCTGCTACTCTGTTTCACAGCAGTCAAATTTGCTACTCTACCATTCCATCAGCAGCTGACTTTATGCTCTTTGTTGGCACAAGGACTACACTTGGTGAGAAGAGGGAAAGGAAATATTGCATAATTTCATAAGAAAAGGATGACTATATATAGCACTTTGAAAGAAACAATGCATGGATCTATACATATAGCCACTGTTGCCTTTCATCAACGGGATTTCAGAGGTCAAAGTTATTTAAATTTAATCATAATTAAATAAACAGAGAAATACAGTAATCTCTGTTTTATGAGTTGCAGCCATGTTAACCTGTGCAAGCATTTCATACTGAATACCAAACAGGGGTCACAAATCATTAGTAGGTGTGAAATGCAACCAAGCACCACTGTCTCTTTGAGCCTTGTATGGAATAGTCCCAGTACTTTAACTCATATGTCTGAAGAAGTGGGCAATGTTCCACGAAAGCTTTCATTAAAACATAGCAGTTAGCCTTTAAAGAGCCAGTGTCTTTTTTTAACTTTTGTTTCATGTTTCTTGTTGAAATGGAAATAATCTCTTCATTTTAATTGCTTACAATTTAATTGCTCTATTTCTTGTTAAATGCAGGCATAATGGTAGCAAACAACGTTTTAACCTTAATTATTGGTTACATAATTAATTGCTGGTCTCTGACTAAGAGGCCACAAGCTAGGCAATAGTTTCCTCACTTTTAGAGGTTATTGGACATGCTAATTCCTCTGGTATCTAACTGAGTTGGATAGGTGGGGCTGACTGATTCCAATTCAGGATTGAAAAAAAATCAAGCAAGAGTCAGGACTGTAAATCCCAGTAGATAAAGGACCTCTTCTTTATTTCAGAATAAAATGCTGCCCTTCAGTACAGTGGCAGACAGCATGCAGAGGAAAACATACAGAAGAGCCTGTGTGAGAACTTGAGAGAGGCTGACGTTCAGTCAAGCAGAGTAGTCTACACCCTACAAAGAGAAGACAAGTAGTTGTAAGAGACTCCCTACTGTGCGGGATTGAATCCAAAATATGCTGAGAAGATCCATGGACCTCAGAAAGATGCTTTCTTTCTGGAGGGTGGATTAGGGATGTGACGGAAGGATTGCCATAACTTTTAAAACCCATAATGGAAATCCCTTTTCCTCATCCATGTGTGAACAAATTACACAGCTAAGAAATCACATCAGACTATGAAGCTCTGCAAAAGAAACTCAAGGACTTTGGGGCCCAAGTAGTCTTCTCATCCATCCTACCACACTCAGAAGAGGAACAGAAAAGGAAAGGGAAATACTCCAGGTGAATAACTGGCTACAAAGATGCTGCTGACATGAGGGATTTGGATTTTTGGACCACAAGCTACACTTGCTGAAAGACAGACTGCTAGAAAGTGATAGGCTGCATCTCACACGGACTGGGAAGAATGTGTTTGACTAAAGCGTGAAGAACTGCACTGGAAAGGCGAGGAAGACACAAACTCAGAGGTAAAGATAAATGCTTATATACAATAAGAGGAAAACACAAAAAGGAAACATATATCAGAAGTGGAAATAAAGTCAGGCCACAAAGAGTACAAACAGGTAGCAAAGAGGTGTTCAGAAGGCAAAAGCTGAGAATGACACTAAAAGCAACAACAACAAATTCTTCAGATTCATGTGTATCAAAAGACAAAGAAAACCATGGCTCAGATACTCAGTGGGGATAGAAAAATGATTAACAGCGACAAAGAAAAGGCAGAAGTGCTCAATTCCTACTTTAGCTCTGTCTTTGCCCAAAATATAGTCTACGACAGTCCAGGCAAATGTAAAGTACAAGTGGAGAGGACAGGACTGCATAGTGAGATTGATACAGTAGTTATGAATGTTGGGAAAATGTGAAGGCAAGAGGAGAAGGGGACGACAGAGGATGAGATGGCTAGACAGTGTCATCAAAGCTACCAACATGAATTTGGCCCAACTCCAGAAGGCAGTGGAAGACAGGAGGGTCTGGCGTGCTCTGGTCCATGGGGTAACGAAGAGTTGGACACAACTTAATTACTAAAGAACAAAAATAGTCTCCAAATCCCATGAAATACTAGTTCTCATCTATTCAGCACTCATTAGGCCTCATCTTAAGTACTGTGTCCAGTTCTGGACACTGCATTTTTTAAAAAAAGTGGACAAACCAGAACAAATTTAGAGGAAAACAACAAGGATGACCAGGGGACTGGAAAACAAGCCCTAGAGCAGGGGTCCCCAACCCCCGGTCTGCAGCCCAGTGCCGGTCCATGGGCTCCCCAGGACTGGGCCATGGAGATGGATCTCTCCCCCTCATGAACTTGTGTCCAGTTCTGGACACTGCATTTTTTAAAAAAAGTGGACAAACCAGAACAAATTTAGAGGAAAACAACAAGGATGACCAGGGGACTGGAAAACAAGCCCTAGAGCAGGGGTCCCCAACCCCCGGTCTGCAGCCCAGTGCCGGTCCATGGGCTCCCCAGGACTGGGCCATGGAGATGGATCTCTCCCCCTCATGAACTGGGTCGCGCCCCAGGACTGGGCCACGGAGATGGATCTCTTCCCCGCATGAACAGGGTGGTGGCGCGCTCATGGGGGGCGTGTTGCGTGACACACACACACTGAGTGTCGGGTGCCCCCACCCTCCCACGCACAAAGCCCGCCCCCCCACCAGTCCGTGGTTCCAAAAAAGTTGGGGAATGCTGCCCTAGACAGTGGTTCTTAACCTTTTTGAAAGAAACGCCCCCTTGAGCCATTGAGGAAGTTATCATCGCCCCCCATGACCCCTGGGATTTAAGTGGATTTATTTAAATCCACTTAAATCCAATGACCCCTGGGAAAAAATTCAATTCCAAGAAAATGAAATGCCCCCAAAAAGTAACATTTAATGATTTAGTTGCAAGCGAATTTTAAGACGCAAAAAGAAATATAAAAAGGGCATAAAAACAAACCACAATGCAGGAACGAAAAATTTCAAGACAAAAACTCTGAAACTAAATTAAGATTGGATGAAAATATATA